TCTAAGTGTGTATGCCATATTGTGATAACACCTTTGACACCACCAACTACTACAGGTCGTTAACATAGGCAGAATGTTCAACTTCAGATTAATATTGAATAATTTAATCATCTGTGCTTTTTTCCATTTTTAAAGTGATACTCATTTGAAATGAAACATATCAATATGGAGAGGATGCTCTTACGGATGTGACTGAAATAATTATCTTGAAAACATCTGCTAGGACAAACTGGGAGATTTTACAGAAATTAAACACCGTTTTTTATTTTCCAAAGAAAAATATATTCTTTTAATTTTTATTTATCAAGAAGAATGTTTCTCATAATAGCCTTGTCTTCAGCACACAAAAAATGCATTAAATGTTTTGTCTTGCAATTAACATTCACATTTCAGAAATTTAATATCTATATATTAGGTTCAATTAATGTCTTGTAACATTGCACACAAATCAATCCAACCAAGTCATATCAAGCTCATTCAAAAGTGTATATGTTCCTCAAACACTGCCATGAGTACATGTAATCTATGCTTACAGACTTTCAAATATTCATATTCCATCTACCAACTATTCACATCTACATCTGGAGACTCGCTTTCTTCTTGGCTGTGTTATTTCATGATTCAAAATGTCCACAATCAACAAAACACCAGCACAGGAGATGTTGAGCATAAAAATGAAAATCAATTTCTTCACACTCTAAGACAAAAAAATGTATAATGGTAACATAAATGAACTATCAGCTAGCAAATGCAGTAGATAACCTGGGCTGCAATGTGCAGTGCAGCGCAGCCATAATTGCAGCATCGTAATGAGAAACATGACTTAGTTCGTTTTTTAACAGTAACTCATCCTCCCAGATGCAGGGAACATTACACATATTCTCTTTGTACCTTTTGAAAAGTTCATGCATACATCAGAATCAATCCAATTTCCCACCCCAGGTAATTCTATCTAGACTTTGTGCCAGTCCCCTCAAACACTGTACAAGTTGAAGTGATGATATAGCCAGAGGCTGCTATTAGCCAATCGGGTGTCTTGGAGAGATGTTATATTAACCAATCAGAATTGTCAAAGGGCAAGAGTCAGCTGATGTTTTGAGTGAGTGAGCATGGTTTTACGCTGTTTTTAGCAATATTCCAGCAATATCACACTGGGGGACACCAGAAATGGGCTTCACACATTGTACCCATGTCGGGAATCAAAACCGGGGTCTTTGGCGTGGAGCGAATGCTTTAACCTATAGGCTTCCTGTATTGAACAGTATTTCAACAGTATTTCAACAGCATGTTGCCCTAACCGATTGAAAGCATTAGTGAGTGAGTTGGGTTTAACGCCGCTTTTAACAGTATTCCAGTTATATCATGGCATGTCAGCTTAATGTGGGAGGAAACCCAAAGTGATGCAGGTCTAAGACGTTTACCACTTTGGTGAAACCCAAGAGCACGGCTATGGTGCTGACAAACCTAGAAACATAATAGGGGTGAACCAGGATTCGAACCCACAATTATAGGTTTCTGGCATGCCCAAGGGACGCATCTCTGCACAGCGAATTGTGGCGCCTTAGACGACTGGGCCACCCGTGCCCCCTGAAAAGCATTAAATGAAGCAGGTCAGTCATTCACCATGTTGGTGCAACCCACTGGTATGGTGCCAACTACCAAGGATCATGATCATTGCAAATATGGGATCGGAATCCATAAACAGCCGATCATGGCACGGCTAAGGGATGCTACTCCGCACAAAGAATCCAAGAGCAGGTGCTTATACACAATTATCAATTTTTTTGTTTTGTCTGTTGTTTAACACCACACTCAGCAATATTCCAGCTATATGATGGCGGTCTGTAAATAATCAAGTCTGGACCAGACAATCCAGTGATTGACAGAAGCCAGTTTGACAATTATGAAAATGGTCAAACTGGCTTCAGAATATCCTGTAGGTTTGGTTTTCACTGATTTTCATGAAGATAGAATCACCCAAGAGTTTCAGGAAAGTCTGACACGCAATGTTCACATTCTGCACTCAATTCATGAATGATCATTGGAGTGATCTGAACACCTAGACTAACTTTGACATGATTATGCTGAGAGTATGCACAGCATAAAATGCCATGCTCTTTATTCAGAGCAACAGGAGAGAGGTGCCATCACCAGCAAGGAAATGAAGACCCCCCGTACTGTTGACCTAACAAGTTCTAACACAATGTCAATCCTGTTCTTACTTATCTTCATACACCCTTAACTACAGCTGTGTCATGTAGCCAGTCTTTCATTTGCATATCTTGACACTGAAGTATGAACAAATATCATTGTAATAAGAATTCTTCAAGGCTGGACCAACTACATTTCTTTGTCAAAATTACCACAGGAATAAGAATGAGAATAATAAAGTGTTGATTTGTAAATATTCTAACAAAATGAAACACAAAAAGATGTCAAAATAATATTATTCAATTACTACAATTTTTTTGGGTCAGCTCCTCTGAAAGCAAAAAAATATTTGTCTGAATAGAAGATAAAAAGTTGACCGGGACAAAATATAAAGAAACCATTTTCCAAAAGCAGAATTTTACAAAATCAAAACGTTTGAAAGTTGATCAGGTACAGATTGACCAACATATCTGTTGACATTGCTTGTTAATTATGCAAAATGCTTCAATAAATATAACTATCTGCAAAATACATCCACTAACTGAAAGGGCATGATGCAAGAACTAAGTATACATAACATTTGACAAGTTCCAGTTCTAATGCATGATTATATTTTAATCGAGTTTTGCCCACAAACCTGTATTCAAAGAGAAAGGTATACATACTACTACTCTTGATAGTAATATTTTTATCTTTCTATGATAACTGATCCAGTGAGTGAGTGAGTATGGTTTTATGCCGCTTTTAGCAATATTCCAGCAATATTCCAGCAATATCATGGCAGGGGACACTAGAAATGGGCTTCACACATTGTACCCATGTGGGGATTCGAACCAGGGTCTTCAGCGTGACGAGTAAACGCTTTAACCATGAGGCTACCCGACTGCCCGATAACTGATGTATAACATGTTAAGTGTATATTTAAATACTGTATATCAGACATCTGATTATCCCTATCTTAAGTTGAGTAGTGTATTTAAAACATGAAAACCTTAATGCATACCAGATTGTAGATGCAATCTGAAGACAATCGAGAGGCATTTTTCATGTCCTATCATGAGCAGTGTCGCAGAGGGGGAAAGAATTCAAATTAACATATTCCTGCAGAATCCACAGAACAGTGAGTCAATTGGGTGTCATGAAGCTTGAGTTTTAGGTTAGGCTAAATAAATTATAATAAAAGTCTTGGTTCTCAGGCACTGCCTGCATCATCATAAAGTGTGCCGCACGTTTCGTTATAATTTCCATTTAAACATAAGATATATAAATCCTAATACTTAAAAACAATGCGATCCAAAATAGCACACAGTCACTTCCCTTTACATGCACACTGCATTACCGTGCATCTTTGGATATGGTAATGGCTGCAATAGGAGTTTGTATGCATGTTCATGCAGGGAGGCCCTTTCCCAGGCTGATGGTACACAACTGTTTATTTGGTTACATACTAGCTTGAACAAGTAAAAAAAAACAACAACCACCCGTTCGCACTATATTTCCAAAACTCAGTGTCTGAGAACCAATTCTTTTATATTTTTTTACGCTGTGAATAGTTCTATATTTGGACCATTTTGATTGGGTCATATCTGGGAGAAAAAAAGCAAAACACGACGAGCAGATCCTGGCATGGATAAGGGAAGCAATTCTGCCAACTGATGCAGCACTTTTGACCTCTTGTTATTAATCAATTTCTATTTTATCTTTCAAACATTAAACTTAGCTTACACGTGATGCACTTGCTGACAAATTCATTTGTTTAAACATGAAATCATCTGACCCCATGTTGGTACCCATGTTAACTGAGCAGGTTTCTCCACTGGCCACGACTCCCATCCAACCCCAATTTGATATCGTCATTGCACTCTTGCAGTATCACGTTAAATGCTAATATTATCATAGAAGACAGTTGTAAATAACATAGCAAAACAAAATTTCTTCAATAAAGGTTGTATAGCAAGTATGTTGGTGCTGTAGTCATCGTTATTCCAGCTTCATCACGGCAAACTGTTAATAATCAATTCTTTATCAGGCAGGGTTGACGGTAAGGATCCATGTCTGATGGCACGCCATCAGCCAGGCATATTGATTGAAAGGGCTTAGAAATTTGGAAAACATAACTTTTGGCAATCATGGTTCATTGCTATAGCTACTTACGTTGACTCGTAACCAGTTATGAAATCTTTCAGCAATGTAACCAGTGTATTCCATTACGACACCATCAATATACAAATATATGGAACAGGGACAAAAAAAACTTAAATTACGCTCCAGTTTAAAAGTATCTATTCTTAGACTAGTATATGTATCAAAATTCTTAATGAAAATACAGTAACAATACTGTAAATATATCCTTTAATAACTTCATCCATATAGTTAGTGTAGGTTTACATTAGTTTCATTAATTAACCTATTTCAGGCAAATCCATAAGCAACTACGGAGCCATTTCTACGCAACTGGCAGGCCTCATTCCTTCTGATATTCAGCATCACACAGCATCAATATTTCAGCCATTGAGTTTTTATTTTTATCGTTACTGTAAGTTATAAGTTCTAACTATAATAAAGCCCAAATTACAAAAGAAATGGGATATATGTTTGAGGGAGATTTCCAATAATTCCACAAAGCAAGAACGTATTTGGCATAACTGTTCCCTGAAAACGGTCATCATGTCACTTGTGCGAGTAGCAGTTAAATATGATTGTTTAATTACATATCTCCACTTGACAGGTGTTTACATGAAGATTTTATGAGCTCTTCACAACTGTGTTGAACCGACAAAAATGTTTATCTTACAAATTGATTGAGAATAAGATTTGCTACACAAGACAAATGTCATCGATTCCATTGGCCTTAAATATCAGAAAATACAAATGAAAGATGCTAGTGTTGAACAAGTAACAGTGATGGTTTAACAATAATCTTGTTTCTTTAGATTTTACTACATGGCATGGAAAAGTTACTCTTCAACGACATGGACAAATTTATTTTGGTGTCATGTAAGTTCTCATTATTCTGAATACAATAATGAAGAAACTAGAAACGCATTCTTAAACAACATGACAAACTCAAATGAACCTTCAGTTCAAGTCAGCGAAAAACCCAAAGATCTTTCTTGCCTTGTTTCTAAGTTTATGCCTTTTGGTTATATTACAGAAGCACTGTGTCTGAGGTGGCCATCGGTGGGTCAAAATACATCGGAGATACATCAGAAACATGTTGGATACAGGATCTCTCAATCTCGTCATCACGTTTTGTAGACTTAGTGATGGTTGTCTCACTTATTATTGATTAGCAAAGCTGGCATAGAAACTGACAAAATCCACACAATGTGGCAGATTAAAGATTCTAGAAGGCCAAGCGCTGAGGGTACCAAGATGCTTGATAAACCATAGCGTGATCCTTCACAAATCTAAAGGGAAGCTTATTTCTGTACCGACACTGGAAGTTGTGATATGATATGTATAGCCATAAAAGGGGTGTGTTACGATTCATATCGCAATACACCAAATTCAATATTTGATGTTCCCTCACGATATAGTCAGATCTAAAGCACAGGATTTTGCTCAACTCAAAAAAAGATAGTTTCAAGCATAAATGAGTCACAACACAGCCCAGTTTGCAAGAATGCTTATTTTCATTTCCCACAGATAATGTACAACCTGATTTTAGCTCCAAACTATGATTAACTTTTAAGTTGATTGGATATCATTCTTTTCATCATGGCGTCACAGATGACACTGAGTTCCTCTAAAGCACCAGGGTGCTGTTGTACAAAGTGATCTTAGGGCTAAGTTGATCATAACTCACATACCTTAACATAGACTTACGACAGTCGTAGTGCTAAGGTTGTTTTGTACAACGGCACCCTCATGTTTTGTTATCTCATGCATAAACAGGACTGATTAATTTCTTCTATGCTGCAAGTGAGTCAGACATAAACAAAGCTTGCAGCTACATTGAGGAAAATGCAATGAACCATTAGCTACGAAGATGTTCCTTGCTCCGGTATTTTGAGCAACGACAAGCTATACCTCTTGGCACATTGGAAGTGTTCCCGTACTACTTCCCAAAACATATTCCAATAAATAAATTTCCGAGAACCTGAGATGACCCTTCCATCTCATACAGTCCACAGGGTAAAGCTCTCAAAGATATGCTATATTCTGTACAACTGAACATTTCCGCTTTCAGCAGACGCAGCACAAGAAATACAAAACTGGGGGTAGAAATGCTGGTTTGTGACAAGTCAAATTCAGCTGATAAGTCAAGTATCAGCTGGTTGAAAGGTAAACATCAGCTGTGACATGTCATACAATGTATATAAGTTGTCAGGAATACATCTTCTGTTGTGAAGAGTCAATATTCTAGTTTAATGTGGCACAGGTCCCATTTCTATACAAAACTGGTTTGTATCACCTCGGAAATTCTCTCTACGCACTGAAGACAGAAGAAACACAATCCATACAAAAATCACATCAATTTGTATCTTTGCTTTGAACGTTTTACACATTGGAGTTGCGCAAAAGATCTTGACATTGTTTGGGAATACGTTCAGAAGCACTGCGTGGATCAATGACAGAAGAACAGTGTCAGCTTCTCCAGAGAGATCAGTAAAGCGTCTCGTGATAAGCTGAATTTACAGCCCAAAACAAAATTCGCCCTGGGTTGTATGATTAGTGTGTACACTGTAGTTTTCAATGTGTCCAACACGTCCCTGTAGTGTACACCATGGTTCAATGTCTCTACGTCCCTGGTAGAACGTGACGCACCTCTTGGGTGAAAGTACCAGGACATCAATGCCAAAATCCAAGAACAAGGACTTTGTGTCGGCCATAACAAGTTTCCCACGCGGGGAGTGTGAATTACTAGAGTATCACAGTGTGTCGGGTTCTATGACGTGGAGCCGTTGGCAACAATCTGATCAGGCTGTGTGGAGGGAGGGATGATGAACGCGGTTGCATATGGAAACACATTATGACATCGGGCCTGGTAGTCCTGGGCTTCTTTCTCGCAGCTGCCGAAATCTCCTCGGCACAAACATTCCAATACTTCTATGCAGTTCTGAAACAGAAATTAAATACACTGAATCACTTCAGCCATACTCAGGCCAGATTTTTCTATAAAACTCCCACCCCTTTTTTTATAATAAAAAATGTAAAAATATTCCTACCCACTTAAAATGTTTATGAATAAAAAAAACAACATTGACGAATTTATCTTAGATTACTGGTGGAGTGAGTGAGTGAGTTGGGTTTAACACCGCTTTTAACATTATTCCAGTTATATCACGGCGTGTCAGCTTAATGTGGGAGGAAAGCCCGAAGTAATGCAGGTCTCAGACGTTGACCACTTCGGTGAAACCCAAGAGCACGGGTATGGTGCTGACAAACCTAGAATCATAATCGGGGTGAACCAGGATTCGAACCCACAATCATAGGTCTCTGGCGTGCCCAAGGGACCCAACTCTGCACAGCGAATCGCGGCGCCTTAAGACGACTGGGCCACCCGTGCCCCCGATTACTGGTGGACGGAGCCTGGACATGTAATCAGACAGTACCAAGATGTTCCATACAAGTATTCTTCATCATTCAGTAGAGGAATACTGGAAAGCTCTTGTTTGCATAATGCCGTACTCAGCAATATCCCAGCTGTATGATGGCAGTCTCCCTCTCTATATATATCAAATCTGGACCTGACATTCCAGTGATTGACATCATGGTCATCGATCTATGCAATTGTGATACGATGACATGCATCAACTATCTTCACAGGCTGGGGGGCTGGTTCCCCTTTGAGTTCCAGCTGTGTACCTACATGTAACAAATGTTCTATTTTGTATAACACTCTCTTAGAAACTACAAAATCTGGTACTTTTTGGGGTGGAGTCCCATCTGGGATTCAAACCCACTCTCCCAGAGTGGGGCACCTAATCGCCAGCACACAAAGTCAGCGATATAACCCACTCAGCCACGGAGGCTAATAGTCTAGATCATGTACTTTGTGTACCCCTCTGACAAGTGTAAACTGGGCGAAAGCTATGAATACACTACAGTAAACATGGCACTGTACAAACCTTGATTGTTACTCCTTTGATATCATTGGACAAAGATGTTGCCAGGGAGATTGCTTTCAGCTGCGTAGTCTGGTCTAGTTCGTACATCATTCGGGCACCTGGCAGGAATATCAAAGAAGTTTAAACAAGTTGTAGATAAAAGAATGCAGATTAATTATTCACTAAAATTGAAAAGATACTAAAAGATTTTATTTTCCACCATAAGAAGGCCTATGTGTGCCCCAAAATCTACTTTCATAATTGGAGTTGATCTCCCTTTTATGAGTGAGTCAGTGAGTATGGTTTAACGCTGTTTTTAGCAATATTCCAGCAATAACACTGTGGGAGACACCAGAAATGGACTTCACACATTGTACCAATTTAGGGAATCGAACCTTGGTCTTCAGCGTGACGAGCGAAGGCTTTAACCACTAGGCTACCCGACTGCCCCCTCCCTTTTATGAACATTTGAATACAGACAATGTAAACAATCAGACATAGGACCACTACTTGACAGAAATTAGCACCAATGTTTTTGACGCAAGCAGCTATTTATAACAAAACTAATACATGGTTCTTTAGGACAGTTTCAACTTTGCTCTGGACCAGACAAACCAATGATTGATATTATGAACAATGTCCAATGCCATCTGACTTGCAATCCGTCGCTCAATCTAACCATGGGAGTGAGTGAGTGAGTGAGTGAGTGTGGTTTTACGCCGCTTTTAGCAATATTCCAGCAATATCACGGCGGGGGACACCTGAAATGGGTTTCACACATTGTACCCATGTCGGGAATCGAACCCGGGTCTTCGGCGAGACGAGCGAACACTTTAACCACTAGGCTACCCGACCACCCCTCTAACCATGGGATCCAATTAGTTGAAACAAGCATACGTTGCTGGGGCGAGTGAGTGAGTGAGTATGGTTTTACACAGCTTTTAGCAATATTCCAGCAATATTATGGGCGGGCACACCAGAAAGAGTCTTCACACACTGTTCCCATGTCAGGAATTGAACCCAGGCCTGTGGCATGACGAGCAAACGCTTTAACCACGAGGCTACCCCACCGCCCCATAGGTTGCTGGGGACCTATCAAAGATCTTGTGAAGTGTCAATAACCTGCAAGTAGATGTTCTAAGGATTTGGAGTTTCTAGCAATGAACTCGTCGTTGAGCGTGTCTGCAGACTTTCCCTCGTACACTCGCTCCACTTCCTGGTTTATCACAGACTGCAAGGGTTCACTCAGCTCACTCTTCTTCACTGAAATCCACAAAACAAAACTCACCAAGAAACCCAAACTTACATCACAGAGAGCCTTCATGCATGATAGACTGGTGTTTCCATTCAAACAAAGAAATCAACACCCAAATGAAGTTGTTTTAAGTCAACCACATCAAACCAACTTTTGTTTCTGCAAATTACAGTCAAATCAATTAGAAACGGGGCAACTAGAAAAAAAATGGATTAAAAACTTTTTTGGTTGGGTTCAAACTGGGTCATTTATTTATCACTTCAAAATGTGTTCAATTTGTTCCATTGTTTATTGGAGCCGTCAAAAATTGATAGTCTTTTCAAAACTTTTCAATTGCTATGTATCTATTCTTTGTGCTGTAATTTCTCTCTGTAAGTCGACTGTATTAGATTTGTTTGTGTTGAAGAGTAGAGTAACAGAACTTGAAAGTCCAAAACAACTGTTTCTACTCACCGAGCTGAAGATACCTAATTTTACATATGTGGAACTTGGGATCATAGGGGTCGGTCTGGAAACCTCGCTTTATGGACTGCAACATCAGTAATAACTTTCCTGCAAAGTACAAGAAGCAGAAACTAACATACTGAACACAAACAAAACAACTAGCCAAAACTATAGTACAATCGATTTGTATTCACACTGAAAACGGATCACCCGACTTTTCACTCACTGAAACACTGCAATTGAAGTTTGACAATTTCAGTCACATGAAGGCATTTTAGCTCAATGTGGGGGGGAGTGACCAAGTTGTAGATGTTTACTACTCGGGAGAAACCCAGGAACAAGTGTATGCATAGATTTGGCCTGGAATTTAGAAAGGAGTACGTTCGCTAACAGTTTCGGTTAAACATTGATTATCACCGCTAGCCGGTCACTTAATGTCATCATCATCGTGTTCAATATTTCCTGCCCATGCATCCTGACTCGCTATATGTCTTCCAAAATCAAACATATCAGTTATTTTTTGTTTAAAAAGGCATTTTGACAGATAACTGCCGTCTGCATTCCCCGTTCAACAAGCTACCATTCCTGTCATGTGCAGTATAATACATTAATAAACATACCTCATGGATTTCCTGGAATTGACTTTAGTTTTGTCAGTATAAATAATACAGTCGTGAGAATATTAAACCTCATTTCAAGATTTAACTGTTGAAACACTGATATTTTGTGACCAGCACCTAACAAGACCTCACACTGAAATTCAGTAATGCATGTTTGATGTTTTTCTGCACGATCTTTGACGCATAACTAGTTTCTGAATGTGAGATAACAACTAAAATTACGTGAACCCTACCAACTAGGATCATGGCAAAATCTCTGGGTATGGTGATCATAATCATTACAAGCTTGGACATATTCTGAATAACTTCAATGAGTGAGTTAGTGAGTATGGTTTTACGCCGCTTTTAGCAATATTCCAGCAATATCACGGCGGGGGACACCAGAAATGGGCTTCACACATTGTACCCATGTCGGGAGTCGAACCAGGGTCTTCGGCGTGACGAGCGAACCCTAACTTCAAAGAAGAATGTTTTCTGCCAAAGTGAGCAATAGTGCAATAGCATGTGTGTTGTTTCTAACAACAAGCATCCAGTACTAGGGACCTACTCAAAGGAAAACAACGCTTTAATGGACCCTTGCGGTTTCTCAAATATTGTTCGGATTAACAAATTTCCAGATTTCTGAATCCTTTGTCAGTTTCCTTCCATACCCAAATCCTAAGGAGGCAAAAAACCCTCTATTATATATAATGCATACAATTATTCGAGTGTTATGCGCAGCCAAAAGACTACATCGTATCTCTTCAGCAAGTTCAGGTGAACGAAGAAACAAAGATGGTAAAAAAAGAAGTGAAAATTGTGAAAAAAACACAACATCACTAGACATGATGATTTACCATTTAAATTGTATTTCCTGTCCTGCAAGGCATTCATTTATATGCAGGCATTAAGACTACTACGTGTATTTTCTCATAAACTATAGTCTGGAAGGTAATTTAAGGTACCGACGTTTACTACAATATCTGAAAAACTATTGGACCTTCTTCAGTCAAAGTTGGTATGAGATTATTAAACAGTCATACATAACTGGATATTACATTTAAAGACAATCGGTGCATGAATAAAAAATCTGTCTATTTAGCTATCACTATATTTCATCAACAGCCAGACCTGTTCGTCACGGGTAGAACGAGCATTCATTGTAACAGCCATCTGCATAATGCTACCCCTGCGTCACAGGGCCATATGACACAGTGGAACCAATCAACTCAACTCGAAAGGGTGCAGGGGAATCACGCACGTTGAATCGCCCAACGCTAACACCGTATTCGTGCATGCGTGCGTGATTCCCGTGCACCCTTTCGAGTTGAGTTGATTGGTTCAACTGTCGGTACCCTAAATTACCTTCCAGGCTATAAGCGGTTACGATTATTTCTTACCTTTCCTAGAGTAAATTTCATAAGCTAAAACGTGTGTTTCTACCCTCCGGGGGGACAGCAGCTGCAGGGGCTTCATGAAGCGCATCGCCTGCTCCAGGGGGTCTTCAGCCTGGAAGGTCGTGTATACAACATGAACACATCTGGCCATTTATACGACATTTCTTTTTTCAGCAATTATGTTCGTTAGTTTGTTGCTGATTTCCACTCAGCAATGTTTCAGCTATATGACAGAGGTCTCTAAATAATCGGTTTTGGACCAAACAACCAAGTAATTGACATTATGAGCATCGAACTCCGCAAACGGGATACAGTGACATGTATCAACCAAGTCTGACCACTCAATCCCGCTGCTCGCCTGTTACGAAAAGCATGGGTTGGTGAAGACCAATTCTAACCTGGATCTTTACATGAGTGCTAGTATGTAATCATGATACCAACATAGAGCATAGTTAATATAGCCTTCAAGATCAACTGAACAATGCCAAGCTTGTAGGGTTGAGGGACACACAGCGATGTCTAATGACGCACTAAGCAATATTCCAGCTGTAAGATGTTGGCCTGTAAATAATCAAGTCTGCACCAAACAAACCAGTGATTGGTACTACACAGAACCATGCTTGTGGGGTGACATGACACACAAACCAAGTCACCCAGCTTGACCAATCCATGTAGTCGCCTTGTATGGCAAGTATAGATAGACAATTCTTATCCAGCATCTCCACTGGGTCAAACCTGAATTGCACAGCTGAAGAATGTTGACAGGACCCTTTTTTTTTTCAGTGCGGTGCGGTGCGGTGCGGTGCGGTGCGGTGCGGTGCGGTGCGGTGCGGTGCGGTGCGGTGCGTGGCGTGGCGTGGCGTGGCGTTGTGTAGCGTGTGGTGTGGTGTAGCGCGGTGTGGTGTGGTGCGGAGCGGTGTGTGGTGTGGTGTATGGCGTGGCGTGGCATGGTGTAGCGTGTGGTGTGGTGTGGTGTAGTGGTGCGGTGCGGTGTGGTGTAGCGTGGTGTAGCGTGTGGTGTGGTGTGGTGCGGTGTGGTGTGGCATGGTGTGGCATGGTGTAGCGTGTGGTGTGGTGTGGTGTGGTGTAGTGGTGCGGTGCGGTGTGGTGTAGCGTGGTGTAGCGTGGTGTAGCGTGTGGTGTGGTATGTTGTGGTGTGGTACAACAGCCTGTGATTCCAGAACAAAGTGTTTTATACCTTGGCTAGTTTGTCTGGCACAAGCTCCTCTTCCTTTGGACCATCAAGATCTCCGTCTTGGCTCTTCTTGTTCTGTAATTCTCTCTTCTCCATCTCGGCTCTCTGCCTTTCCCGAGCCATCTCCGCTATCTTGGCTGCCTTCCGTTGTTTCCGTTTAAGCTTTTTTAGTTCACTAGGACTAAGATTTTCTGTGGAATTCAAGAGGGAGCATAACTACTGGTGTCTTGTCAGTTCATGCAAAATGATAGCAAGTCAACAAGGGAATATGATTTATTTAAGGGCTTTTGTAGTCTGAAAACTAAGAGCATGACAAGGCTCCTGAGTGTTTCTAAAACATTTGCAGCATTAGATCATAAAGATCGGAAAGGAAAACGAGAGAGTGAGTTCGGTTAAATGTTGCTTTGAGCAGTATTCCAGTTATATCATGACATGTCAGCTTAATGTGGGAGGAAAACCATGAGCATAGGTATGACGCTGACAAACCTAGAAATATAATTGGGGTGAACCAGGATGCAGACACACACGGTCATGGGTTTCATTACCATTTTCAGTTCCATTCATTGTCCTTGGGCATTTTAAATGACGACATCTACTTATCAGAGTGAAAGCTACCTTCCAGCTCAATACAGCAACGTATCTCTCCAGCTCCCCACTGATCCAAATCTGAGGACATTTTTGTTCTTATCACAAGTGAATTAATTCCTGTTTGTTTGTTTGTTGTTTAACGCCGCACTAAGCAATATTCCAGCTAGTAGTAGTCTGTAAATAATCGAGTCTGGACCACACAATCCAGTGATTGACATCATGAGCATCGATCCACGCAATTGGGATACAATGAAATGCATCGACCAAATCAGTGAGCCTGACCACCCGATCCCGTTAGTCGCCCCTTACGACAAGCATAGTTGCCAATTACAACAAGCATGGGTTGCTGAAGACCTCTTCTACCCCAGATCTTCACAAGTGAATTCATTCCTCTACCGATGCTCTTACCTGTATCTAGGTTATTTTCTTGTTCATGTTCCGTGAAGGGGTGGTCGTGTAAATGTAAATAAATCTGCAAGGAAAGTAACCATCATGAAATCATTTCTTTGAACAATGGTAAGCACTCATACAGAAGATGAAATTAACAATCCAGTTCATCACGTTTGTACTACCAGATTTGTCATGTTAGAGCGCTGGACCACCTGAGATACTTTTTATTTGTCACAGACAGCAACATTCAAGCCATATGACAGTAGCCTAGACCAGACAATCAAGTGATTGATATCGTAATCAGTGATCCACGCTGTCAGGGTATGATGACACACAATGATTGGTTGGTTGGTTGGTTGGTTGGTTGTTTAACGCTGCACTCAGCCATATTCCAGCTATATGACGGTGGTCTGTAAATAATTGAGTCTGGACCAGATAATCCAGTGATTAATATCATGAGCATCGATCCACGCAATTGGGATACGATGACATGCATCAACCAAGTCAGCGAGCCTGACCACCCGATCCCGTTAGTCACCTTTTACGACAAGCATAATCACCTTTTACGGCAAGCATGGGTTGCTGAAGACCTATTGTACCCCGGAAGACACACCATGAACCAAGTCACTGAGCCTAAACACCTGTTCCATTAAGCCGCCTCCCACGACCAGTATAGGTTGCTAGGCACCAATTCTATCCTGGAATCCCCACCGGAGTCAGTAACTGTTTCATGTAACTTTTTAATGACAGCCATGTGTATAACCATGGTACAGGGAACCAGTATTATTTCAGCAACTTGAGACTGACATTTGTAATCTGCATCTTTATCCAAACATGTCTACATAAACAGTTTACTGCATCAGTCAAAGTAGGCTTCATGTGTTTCAGAAGGATCTATTGTTAACATCATGTGCAGCAACATTAAGACTGTACTCCCAAACCATATTATTATTTCTTAACACAAGAGGTGAGGTGAAATGGGGTTTAACGTCGCGTCCAAGATTATTGCACTTATATAGCGACGTGCATGCATGTGTATGTGTGTGTGATGCTGCTTGTACTAGTCCGGACTGATGCCGATTTATAGTACTAGCACACTGACATACCATGCCGCAGTTTAACATGAATACCCCACTCAGACACAGTATACTGACTCTGAGCTGACCAGTCCTTGTTTTAGCCCCTTAATGCCGAGTGTCAGACAGGGTAACAACAAGTACCATCTTTTAACATCTTTTGGTATGACACGGCTGGGGATCGAACCCCGGACCTTCTGCTCTCCGGGCAGATGCTCTACCATTAGAACACAGAGGCGGTCCCTCTTAACACAAGAATTATTAGTTATTTAGATAAGTTTCAAATACTGAGATGGTGCGTATGTGTGTTTATATCCAGCAATATTCCAGCTACAAGACGGTGGTTTGTAAATAAATAAGTCTGGACCAAACAATCCAGTGATTAATGTAATAAGCATCAATTCATACAATCAGATACGTGGATATGCAATGAGCCAAATCACAGACAAGCATGGGTTGCCTATTGTAACCCAGAACCCTACAAGAGTGAGTGAGCGAGCTGGATTTAAGGCCACTTTTAACAGTACTTCAGATATAGCATGTCAGCTTAATGTGGGAGGAAAGTCTGAAGTGATGTGGTTCTAAGACGTTTACAACTTTGGTGAAACCCATGAGCACGACGAGTGCTGACATACATACGGTGAGTGAATATGGTTTTACGACGCTTTTAGCAATATTCCAGCAATATCATGTCGGGGGACACCAGAAATGGGCTTCACACATTGTACCCATGTGGGGAATCGAACCTGGGTCTTCCACGTGACGAGTGAACGCTTTAACCACTAGGCTACCCCACCACCCGTGACATACCTGGAAACATAATTGTGAGGAAACAGGACTTGAACCCACGATCAAAGGTTTCTGGCATGCCCAAGGGACAAAACTCTACACAGTGAATTCAGCTAGACCATTACCTCTATTGCTATCCTAGCAGCCCTGTAGTAGAAGGGGTGACTTCTCAACTTGTCTTCTAACCTCAACAGGCCAACATACGCCCGTAACGTCATCTTCCGCATACAGTAGGTGTGGAAGTCAAACTGGTCCTCAATAATTTCTGTAAAATGCTGAAAAGACAAATGATATTTATCACATAGAGTACACCTCACACATTCTCATCGTAGGATATACACCTTGTGCATGTTCAAATTAGAGATCTGCATCTATCTGTACTGCTTGCAATCTAGGATTTGAAATCAAGACAAACAGATTGTACACCCAGTCACATTAGGGCGCTGGACCACCTGAGATACTTTGACATATGCCAGTTGAGTGTCACAGTAAGCAATTTTCTAGCCATATGACAGCAGCTTGGACCAGACAATCAAGTGATTGATATCATAAGCAGAGATCCATGCCATCAGAGTACGATGACACACCATGAAGTCACTGAGCCTGTAACTGTATCATGTAACTGTTTCATGTTTGTTTGTTTGTTGTTTAACGCTGCACTCAGCAATATTCCAGCTATATGATGGCAGTCTGTAAAATAATCGAGTCTGGACCAGACTATCCAGTGATTGACATCATGAGCATTGATCCATGCAATTGGGGCCTATTCTACCCCGGAATCTCCAGGGGTCAACTGTTTCATGACAGCCATGTGTATAACCATGGTACAGGGAACCAGTATTATTTCAGCAACTTGAGACTGACATTTGTAATCTGCATCTTGGTCCAAACATGTCTACATAAACAGTTTACTCAATTACTGCATCAGTCAAAGTGGGCTTCATGTTTTTCAGAAGGATCTATTGTAAACATCATGTGCAGCAACATCAACATCCAATAACAACAGGCTTTGTAAATATTTGGCACACTTGATGGGAACCAAACCGCAGTGTCTCAAGTGAACCCTGTAACCACCAGGCATCCACCAAATGGCTTCAAAGGAGATATTAGTAAAAACTTAAATTGACAACCACCAAGAATTGTTTGTTTGTTTGTTGTTTAACGCAGCACTCAGCAACATTCCAGCTATATGATGGCGGTCTTAAATAATCGAGTCTGGACCAGACAATACAGGGATTGACATCACGAGCATCGATGTACACTATTGGGATACGATGACATGCATCAACCAAGTCAGCGAGCCTGACCACCCCATCCCATTAGTTGCCTTTTACGACAAGCGTAGTCACCTTTTATGGCAAGCATGGGTTGCTGAACACCTATTCTACCCCGGATCCAACCACCAAGAAACCATGATGAATGCTTGTATGAAGTTTCACAGCTAGAGTGAGTGACTGAGTGAGTATGGTTTTACGCCGCTTTTAGCAATATTCCAGCAATATCACGGCGGGGGACACCAGAAATGGGCTTCACACATTGTACCCATGTCGGGAATTGAACCCGGGTCTTCGGCGTGACGAGCGAATGCTTTAACCACTAGGCTACCCGACCGCCCCCTTCACAGCTACAATTGATGATGACAGACTGAACAGTAATGAAGTACAACTGAGAGGCTCTGGTGATATGACTTGGATTTTATCTCAAGTATTCCTATAGCCCCATCATGATTCGACTTGGACTATTACTTATTATATATCTTAATATATAAACTGCAGTCAACAATATCCCAGCAAAATCCAACATGGGACAGACAAACCAAAGGTCGATAGAATGAGTAAACATTCCATGCCCTTAGAGCCTGACAACCCAATATCAGCGTGCTGGGATCTTAGTGCTAAGGTGATAGTAACTCCCATACTTGAGCATAGACTCACATAGCGCTTCCCCAAGAATCTCCACAGGGACACATACTGCTTACCCTATCTATCTCATGGCATTTCTTCAGGGCATCGCCCCACTTGCCTAGACGCTGGTATGCTGCAGAACTCTCTGTCTGGAACCACATACACTGCATCTCATTCAGGTTCTCTGTTGCAGAAACACCCTCCTGAAAAAGAAGTTTCTATTCAAAGCATTTCCTTTAAAACACAAGACCTAAGGACAGCAATTATCTCAACTTCTAACACATACCACTTAAAAAAAAAGTGAAGGATTTTATCATACATATATTACTATAGTTATTGTCATGCCATAACAGATTAACTATATTAATATGAAAGAATCGGTGGGTGGGGGGGCTACATTGGGCAGTGGAGTGATTGGCTGAACTAGAGGTTCAATCATGGCAGCATGAACAGTAATTCATCTTCCCGAGGCAAGGGAGTTAACTGACCATAAAAGTCCAAGTATCCACCCTTGCCGAACTAGGCTGGAATTATGGAGTTATATTTTGGCTGGATTAACAAGTCTATGCATATTCGAATCAAAATCACGTAACAAAATCGATATCTGGTTCATAAACTGCCTAGCAGATTTTTCTCAATTGCAGGATTTGCAAAGCATTCGTACCGTCAACTCGGAGTCAAAAGGTGTTTTCCAAATCTTTTCATGTTTTTAATCAAATCACGAGGTAAGACAAATTTGATTACAATATAGATCTTGATCATCGGTCAGATCGTCTTGACCGGGCACCTCCATTTTGTTTGAAGCAAATGCAAGTGATATGAGAGGTGGAATCCGATTGGGCAATAGGTGGGACATGGAAGGGACATCACTCGTAATAGCCACTGGTGGTAATACAATCGAGCCCAGGAATTCAAGGAAAGTTTGGGAACGCTTTAACCACTAGGCTACCCGACCGCCCCTGGTGCTGTAGGAACCTGGACCTGTTTCACAAGGAAGTCTTACTGTGACTGCCGTAAATTACATAATCACAGCATTGTCTATTTTATATACTTATCCTGCATTACATATTGCACACTGCTCTTACTAACAAAGTCCTAACTGGAAATGAACGACGATCTAATAGCGTCTTCAGTACTCTTTTGCCCAACATGACCTGGTCACCTCCGTAACATCAGGTGTATGAAGACACGCCCCCTATATGTCATTATTCTCTTCCTCGCTATGTTAAAGTATGAGGATCATTTTCCAGAGAAAGATGCCACCACTTTCAAAATAAAATCTAATAACAAGATAACGTATGCACTATCCCCCGCCATGAGCCACATTACAAGTTTGTTTGTTAATAGTAGTGAACAAAAACTATAAACAAGAGCCCCATAAGCCTTAAGAAGAGATAGGCACTTGGGCCGCTTTTTCATCATCAGAAAAAAGATAAAATGTGAAATAAATGCACATAGAAGGCCCTTTCTCTGGGGAAAAATAACTCAGTCTTGATAAGTATCTCTTAGATAAGCTAACTTCAGTTGGTTCTGAGAAAATTTGATCCCATTGCACAAATAACATGGGTCAAAGGCTGCAACTCTGTAAAAAATTAATTGATGGGACCAATTTTTGAACTCAGTCTTGACAAGTATCTCTTAGATAAGCATGCAAACTTTCATTCATGTAACGTCAGTAGTTTCTGAGAAAACTTGTTCCCGTTGCCAACACTATGCGACGGGGTCAATTTTCAAATTCAATCTTGACAAGAATCTCTTAGATAAGCATGCAAACTTTCATTCTTGTAGCTTCAGTAGTTTTTGAGAAAAGTTGTCCCCATTTCATGCAGTATGCACTAAGTCAAAAACCATGGAGCAAGGGCCATAACTCTGTAAAATAAGAATGTGTGACACCAATTTTTTAACTCTTTTTAGGTCATGACCAGTAACATCTCTGTGCAAAATTTCATTCCTCTAATTTTGAGAAAATTTGTCCCCATTGAGAAGCAGACGGATGGACGAACTCCGTTCCAATATGCCCCGCCCCACATCGTCTCGGGGGATAATAAAACCAATTCTGTGTAGGAAAGAATACTGACATGGACGAAAATGTCCAAAATTCAACATTACGCATAAGGTACTACATCCAGGTTAGACCAGATCTGTGAAACCTTTGTGTGGGTATGACCAGCCTCCATTCATGATACCTACCCTGGTAAACTTGGCACACATATCAGATGCCTCCTGGATGAGGTTACCACGCAGCATGTACTTGGCACATTTGGAGTTGATGTAGCGGTCGGCTGTGTCCAGACTCTGTGCCTCGTCCATCAGCCGCACTGCCTCCTCAATGTCTCCTGCATGCTGCAAGAAAGGGAAGACACGTTCACATTACAAAACATTCATACCAGTGTTCAAAATTAAGCATGGATTTCAAGGAGTCACAGTCATAAAGTAATGGCGACAGTTTAAGATCTAGGGGTACCAGCAACTCCAAAGCGCCCCCACTTAATTTTAAAAACTGTACACATAACTGTTTTCGTACTCTCTCATCTTCAGGCCACAAAGTTAAAAAAAATTAAAAGGAGCCAATTGGCTCCTAATTTTTTTTTTCAAGGAGCCAAATAGAATTTCAAGGAGCCAAGGCAAAATGTAAGGAGCCAAAAGTAATGACTTGTAATTTAACTGAGCTTCTGCATAACAAAACACAAAAAAATCCATTAGTTTAAATAATCAGTTTTATATCATGAACAACAACTGTTGTTGAAGCTTTTGAGTTTTTCAGACAAACAAGCTTTAGAACATTGTGTCAGTAACATCATCTGACAGTTTACCGGTGCCAGTTGCAGGTTTTGGTTCATCGAACGTGTCGACAGACGATGAAACTTCCGTGTCAGCTTCGCCATTCAAAGCATTCCGTATTTTCTTTAGTATACTGCGCATGTTTTTCCAAAAAAAACCACAGCTGTGTAGAAGGGGGTGCGCATTATACACGAAATAATGAGTTTTTTTACCCCCATGGAAAGACCGTGAGCACGTAATACCGGAAATACCATGTCAACAAATCCATACTGAAGTACGCAAATTAATCATGTAATTACACTGTCTGACTATAAAAAGTGTTCTTTGTATATCTGGACTTATGTTTGTAACTTATTTCATTAATTTTATTCAAAATTACTTTTAATATTGTTTTAATTAATTTCGGCGAAATCGTGTGTGAAGCGATCGGATGATCGCACAACTCACCGTTATTAACAGAAACCACGGTCAGATTACCGCTATTGACGCCTTGAAACGAACTTTAGTTGACAGAGAATGGATACATATGTCATAAATGCCATACTTTGACTCGTTAAAAGTCATATTTGTTTTTGTTGGACGATTCTATGTCAACACGTAATTCATGCGATCACGTGCGCGGGAGCCTTGACGGTGACTGGTCAGACTTGTTCCATGTAAAACCATGTAATACCCGGTAATAGCAATCAGCTGCTTCGCTTAGGGTTATTATTATTTCAAATATGTTTAGTAAAAGCTGCATCTAAATTAACAAGATATTGGAATATATTATTCCTGATAAAAAAATAGTTTCAGGTACAATTTTTGCCGATCCTTGCATTAAAACCCTGTAAAGTTATATCATTGGGTGTGTCTTGACTGAATCAACGGTAAATTCCAAGAAAATGTGTGTACAGCTGATTGCTGCGTCCTGCTTAGTTTACGAGAAGATACACATGGTAATCTTAATCCCTAGATATAAAACAATGCCTAGCTAGCAGAACAAAAATTACAATTTAAACGGTAAATCAACATGTCTGGTGATTTTTTCTCTCAAATCTCGAATTTGTACTGACCATGTTTCTCATCACCCGTTCGTTTGCCGGACTTCGCTAAAGGGGTAGATATATCTACGGTGTAATTTTTTTTCTGCGCTTGGAAGATCTATTCGAATTTTTTCCCCCAAAAAATTCTGAATCCGCTAGAGAGGGGTGCGCACTATACTTAAGAAAATACGGTATATATGCCGATTGACAACGATTTGTTGTTGTTTTGACTTGCGCAAATATGGAAAAATACTTCGTGTTTTTGAACGGCGAAACGACCGCCACAGCTGTCACCTGGGCGGATGTTGTACAGCGCATGCGTGGGTACTAAACTCTTAACACCGTTAGTGCAATACTTAATAACGGAAAGTGCTTCCTTCATTCCAGGTATGGAGCTTCATATCGAAAGCGAAAACAGTACACATAGCCTAGCAGTGATCTAGTCGATGTTATTATGTTCTGATATCGATTTTTTTCACTGAAGTTACCGCACTTATATTAAAAATGATCTTTTTTAATATCTTATGACAAGAGATATTTAGTCGCCAAACTTAATTAAAGACAAGGAGCCAGTTGGCGACTGACATGAAAATACCAGTCGCAAAATACAAAACTAGATCACCATGGCGACCAATTTAGTCGCAACTTTGTGGCCTGATCTTATACAGTTGCTCATTTGTTGTTTAACACCGTGCTCGGAAATACTTCAGCTATATGACAACGGTCTGTAAATAATTGAGTCTGGACCAGACAATCCAGCGGTTGATATCATGAGCATTGATCCACGACTTGGGATACGATGACATGCATCAAGCAAGGCAGCAAGTCTGACCCACCCGATCCCGTTAGTCACCTCTTATAACAAGCATGTCACCTCTTATGACAAGCATGTCGCCTTTTACGGCAAGAATGGGTTGCTGAAGATCAGCCATACCGCCCACAACTCTTTTGGAATGCCTTGTGTTAACCTTTTCGAGACTGAATGATTAGAAACTGCATTTGGATATTCACTTTAGCAATCTGGTAAGCCACGCTGATTGGTCAGATGAAAGGTCGTTCTGACGTGACAGGTAATGGTATGTTCTTAGATCTATGTGCGAGGTAGCGAGCATTAAAATCTGAATTGAATGACTTTGTGACTTTTCCTCAAGAATAACTTACCTTATGTAGTTTGGCCTTGAGGACATAAAGCTCTATTAACAATGGAGTGTGTTCAAGGCCCTGATCACAGTAGTGAATGGCCTTACGGATGTCTCCGAGGTAGTCAAAGTGCTGAGCCAGGTAATAGTACGTCCACAGCAGGGCTGTAGCAGGCTCCTTCTCTTCATTCTCTCCTGAGGGAAACAACACATATTGACACTTATCACACATGCATACTGATTCATAAAGCCATCAACATGCTCAAGAGATGAATAGCTAATGTAAAACAAGCATGAAAAACTCATATACCCTGCCAATATGACATGTCGGGTTGTGTGCAAGGCAATAAATATTGTACGGTTTTCAAGATCTGCTCCAGAAATGAGCACTACTGCCATTTTCAAGGTGAAAGTAGTTGATATGGAAACTTGAAAAATAAGTTTTTCAAAAATCCCAAATTATCAAAAGGCACCAGTTTACACTAGACCTATCTGTGTGCCAAGTTTGGTGAAGAAATTTATGGTTTTCAAGATCTGTTCCGGAAAGGAGCATTACAGCCATTTTCAGTCTCAGTCTGAGTCAAAGTCGTTGCTATGGAAACTCGAAAAAAAAAATTTCCAAATCTCAAACTACCAAAAGGCACCAGTTCACCACTAGACTATCTATTTGCCAAGTTTGTTTAAGATATCTCTCATGGTTTTTGAGTTCTGCACCCATTCCTATATCCCTTCCACTTCCTGGTGGGGGATAATAATACATATCTAAAGGATTAAATTCCCTGTCTTCGTTATAAAAACTAAATTTGTCCTTACTTGTCCACACTAAAGGCTGTTACATCTTCAATGTCCTTGAATCAGTTATATCTAGCAGTGTGCGATATAACATGAGGTGAGGCGAAATGGTGTTTAATGTAGCATTCATTGTTTGAGGACATTGCCATGGCTACAGTGTACTTACCCACATTGGTATCAAAGTATCCTGTAGTACTCAAATTATTCACATATCCTAGGATCAGATCTTCTATAATTTTCACCTGAAACACATTTAGATTAAGATTAGATCAACTTGGAAGAAGGATTTCCCCACATGAGCATCAATCCACACAATTGGGATACGATGACATGCATCAACCAAGTCAGCAAGCCTGACCATCCCATCCGGTTATTCGCCTCTTACAACAAGCATGGGTTTGCTGAAGACCTATTCTGACCCGGATCCTCACGGGTTACCACTAGAGGTGGGTGTGGTGCTGACAAGCTGGATCACAACAGCCAATTTAGGATCTAAACCCACAGCAAAATATACTTGAGGAAAATGTCATCCCATCTCGTTTTCCACCTCTTACAACAAGCATGGTCCCCTTTTACGGCAAGCATGGGTTTGTTGGGGCGCGAGTGAATCATTATAGCTTCATGCTGCATTAGCAATCTTGCAGCTATTAGCAGGGAGATCAATACAATCTTGTTTTGAGAACAACCAACAAACATGGGGTAATTACGAGCTTTCCTTCCCTGTAAACACCCACACCATGTCTATTGATTTATCATTCATTGTCTTACCTTTTCAACGTCATGGTACAGGGGTCGCATGGCCACGAACAATGGAGGAACGCCTTTACGGATAGCCTTCTTCAAATATTCATCTGCGTAATCCCTCAAAACATCCTCTACAAGAAACAAGAGTTGATTACTATCAATGCTGTTGCAATCAGCATTCACAGCAATCACAATTTCAGAGAAGAGTGAGTGAGTGAGTATATGGTTTTACGCCACTTTTAGCAGTATTCCAATTTCCAGCAATATCACGGCGGGGGACACCAGAAATGGGCTTCACACATTGTACCCATGTTGGGAATCGAACCCGGGTCTTTGGTGTGACGAGCGAACTTCAGAGAAGAGTTATACATGTGATGATAAGAGCTAGTGTTCTAGTTTTACAGTGCAATGGAGTTTCAAAATAAGGTGAGGTGGGGTTTAACGTCGCGTCCAAGATAGCAACGTGCGTGTGTGTGTGTGTGTGTGTGTGTGTGTGTGTGTGTGTGTGTGTGTGTGTGCGTGCGTGCGTGCGCGCCAACCAGTCCTTGTTTTAGCCCCTAAATGCCGAGCGCCAGACAGGGTAACAACAAGTACCATCTTTTAACTTCTTTTGGTATGACGCGGCCGGGGATCAAACCCCGGGCCTTCCGCTCTCCGGGTGGACCCTCTACCACTAGACCACGGAGGCTGTCTTTAAGACATGTGGACATACATTGATATAGGTGAGTTGGGGTGAATTCAATGTCGTTTCAAAGTCGCGTTCAAGATAATTGTACTTATATGGTGACCAACATCCATATACCTGTATGGCTGCTGTAATAGTCTAGAATTAGGCTGGTTTTATAGTGCTAGCCCACTGAGATACCATGTCACAGTATTTTAACATGGATATCCCACTTGGATACAGTACTCCAAGCCGATCAGTACTTGTTTTATCCCCTTAATGCCAAGCAAAAGACAGGGCGACAAAAAATCCCAACTGTTAACATATTTGGTATGATACAGCCAGTGAATCAAACCATCGACCCCTGCTCTCCAGGCAGACGCTTTATCAACTAGACCATTTTCTCCAGCAGGGGACACCAAGTTAGTGAGGGAATGCTGTTTTATGCTGAGGTCAGCTTAATCACTGCAGCCTGTGAATGATGAAGTGTGGGTGTGTTTCTAAGGGTTAACAGCATGAGCAATGACTCCATGCAATCAGAGAAGGATGACAATCAGCCAGGCCACACACTGGTACTGTTCAATCCCCATCTTCCTCGTCAAGCATTGAGTACTGAGGATGTACATCTGTCGTGGAATGCCCCCAGAGCTACATATGAAAGTAGCGCCTACCTGTTAAGAATGTTAATGGTATTCTCCTTGGTGTGGATGCCCTGGGATACTTCTCATGCACATCCCTGTACAGCTGTAGGCGTTCAGCTTCCGTTTCTAGAACAAGGCATTAAAATAATAATAACAAGGATGAATAAGAAGAATTACAATTACATGCACACACAGTAGCTGTAAGAGTGAGTGAGTGAGTTGGGCTTAACGCCGCTTTTAACAGTATTCCAGTTATATCACGGCGTGTCAGCTTGATGTGGGAGGAAAGCCCAAAGTGATGCAGGTCTCAGACGTTTACCACTTTGGTGAAACCCACGAGCACAGGTATGGTGCTGACAATCCTAGAAACATAATTGGGGAGAACCGGGATTCAAACCCACAATCATAGATTTCTGGCGTGCCCAAGGGACGCAACTCTGCACAGCGAATCGCGGCGCCTTAGACGACTGGGCCACCCGTGCCCCCGTAGCTGTAAGGTTGCTGAAGACCTATTCTTCATGGCTGCTTAATAGTGGCATAACAAACTGTATTGCTATTATCTGGTTCATCAGAACATCATTATCATCCTCCTGATATGGGGTCCTGGACTATTTCAACAGAGCATGGATCTATTTACATGAGATGGAGAAAGTTTCCGCTATTACAGCTCTTTTCAAATGTTTCTGAGAGTTACAAGCATTTGGCTGATTAGCTGTACTGTGGCCATCTGCATTATATAATCATGTTTTGTTTGTTTGTTTGTTGTTTAACGCCGCACTCAGCAATATTCCAGCTATATGATGGCGGTCTGTAAATCATCGAGTCTGGACCAGACAATCCAGTGATTGACATCATGCGCATCGATCCACGCAATTGGGATCGATGACCTGCATTAACCATGTCAGCGAGCCTGACCACCTGATCCCGTTAGTCGCCTTTTACGCATAATCATGGTATGGTGTCACTTTGTACTTTTTGTGTTTAATGCCTCAGAAACACTCAGAAATATTCCAGCCATGACAGTTGTCTGTCAATATGGAGTCTGAGCCAGAAAATGCAGTAATGGACATGGAGCATCAATCTACACAGTTTGGATATGATGACACGCATCAACCAAGTCAGCATGTCTGCCTAGAATGGTGTGAGTAGCCTCTCCAGTACACATATGGAGAGATCCTGCTTGACAGCAGTTAATGTAACAGGTCTTTCTCGCTGATTAATTTACAATCATGGTGATGACATTAACAATCCATTTCATCGCATCTAATATTGTAGTGCATCAGTCAAAGTAGGCTTCATGTGTTTCAGAAGGATCTCTTGTTAACATCATGTGCAGCAACATTAATGTAAGTATATTTAATTATTGTACCCTCCACCCCAAATGCAGTTCTTAACTTTAATTACAAATAATGAAAGCCTTTGCAATGTGGGTATAATCCACTGCAAGAATACAGAACATTATTACAACGTACCTGGATTGACAGATTCTTCTAAGCCTCCGTAATATGCCCAATTTTCTGGATTTCTGTTGATCAAATCACGATAGATGTCCACTGCTTCTGAAGCTCGTCCTAACTTGGTAAGAATTTCCGCCTTAATCTCCTGGAGGGAGAGGCGATCGACGATCTGGTGGTCAAACGTCTTCAGGTGCTCTAATGCCCTTTGATACATCCCTGCCTCCCTCATCACCAGGTTTTGATACATCAGCAGTTCCGAGTGTTCGTAGTCGAGTGGCTTCGGCTAGAAGGATAAATAGACAATTCAGTCAACACAATGAACAGGATGAAAGGAGTGAGTGTGGTCGCTTGTACTTGTTTGGATCAATGCCGATGTTATATGTCAAGCCCACTGACATACCATATCTCACTCAAGACAATAGTATACTGACTCCGAACTGACCAGTCCTGGTTTTAGCCCCTTTATGCCGAAACCCAGGCAGGGTAACAACAAGTACCATCTTTTGACGATGTTGGTTGGTTGGTTTGTTGTTTAACGCCGCACTCAGCAATATTCCAGCTATATGACGGTGGTCTGTAAATAATCAAGTCTGGACCAGACAATCCAGTGACTGATATAATGAGCATCAGTCCACGCAATTGGGATTGATGACATGCATCAACCAAGACAGCGAGCCTGACCAACCGATCCCGTTAGTCGCCTTATACGACAAGCATAGTCGCATTTTACAAGCGTAGTCGCCTTTTACGGCAAGCATGGGTAGCTGAAGACCTATTCTACCTTATTCACTTGTTATGACAGGGTGGGGTATCAAACCGACCATACAGCATTTACTTATCTCCTTCCTTGTCAATAGCTTGAGCTGCATCAGTAATAACTGACCTCACAGTAATCAGAAGGATCTATTGTGAACATCATGTGCAGCCAAGTTTTTCTGTTTGTTTTATATGTTGTTTAACGCTGCACTCAGCAATATTCCAACTATATGACTGCAGTCTGTAAATATTCAAGTCTGGGCCAGACAAGCCAGTGATCGACTTCATGAGCATCAATCTACGTAATAAGGGTGAGGTGACATACAATCAACCAAGTTACAGAGCCTGAACACCCGATCCATTCATTCGCCTCTTACGGTGAGGTGAAATGGGGTTTAACATCCGAGTCCAAGATTATTGCACTTATATAGCAACGTGCATTCATGCTTGTACTAGTCCTGACTGATGCCGATTTTATAGTACTAGCCTACTGACTCCGAGCCGACCAGTCCTTGTTTTAGGCAGGGTAACAACAAGTACCATCTTTTTTACGTCTTTTTGTATGACGCGGCCTGGGATCAAACCCCAAACCTACCGCTCTATCGCTAGACCACGGAGGAGGTCTCGTCTCTTACGACCAGCATAGGTTACTTGGGACCTGTATTCTTACCCGGAATCAGAGCTCCGAGAAGTCAAAAACTCTCTCCAAAAGCATTTACCATTTGTGTTTTCCTAAACTCATCTAGAATCTTGAGAGCCATATCGTAGTCTTTGAGAAGATGATATGACATAGCGTAGCCAATCCATGACGCTCGTTGACCTGGCCGCAGAGCCAACAGTTGGTACCGTGTTTCCTGCAAGAAAACCAGACAAATAATTGATATTGAGAGAAGACATACCTGGTACCTGTTGTTGAAATCATTTCCATTCTAGCACTCTAATACTGAATCACTTCAGTTTGGAGAAATCAAGTACGGATATCAAGATCATGCGTCTAAGGATCAGAGCTCCAGATAAGCTTTTGGTGTTGTGGGTATTTTACCCATGCATTTTAAAATCATTGGGTATCAGTAATTTTATCTGGGTATTCAAATTTCTGTTACCCACTAGTTTTTACACATGTGGGTATTTAAGTTAAATATTTAAAAAACACTTTTCATCAAGTCCCTGCAAACTGGTGTCGTCTGGGTTCGAGAGCTTTATAGGACTCAAAAATACCACAATACTTCCACAAGAAAGTGTGATGGCAAATGATCATGATGTAACTGTCATCTTTGAGTTTGGCAAGGTTGACGAAATGCCCGTTTATAATTTCAAAATAAGTTGTTGATTTGCTAATCGAATACGCAGGGTTACTTCACAATATTTTGATGATACCCACAAGTTTTATTTTTGTAGCGTATCTGTAATGTTCGTTGTGTATTTGACATGTTTGATACGCTTGGATTTTATTTTACTGCGTATTTCTGCATTTCTGATGCATATTTTACGCAGATACGCAGCTTATCTGGAGCTCTGAAGGATGATTTATTTTTTTTAAGTGTGGCAAAACTTATATGAAAAGTTACTAGCTCTAAAAACACTAACATGAAAGAATCAGGTGGTCCTATATGTATGCTAGGTCGGTCCTTAGTGTTTTTCTAGATGTATATTTGCAGATATATGTAGTTGTTCTAATAATTGATAGTCAACTTCACTATTGGGCAGTGCATTGTCAAGTTACTCACCCTGTACCCCTCAAGATCCCGCATCTGTATCTGTAACAACGACAAATCTCGCAAGATTTGAAGATTGTCCTGAAAAATAAGATGCCCTCAATATTACACATCTTGAAACAAACATTAATATAAAAAACTGGTTTCCATCAACTCTTGCTTTGATGAATATCACTGTGAAATTTGTAAATTAGGTTTAACATGCTGAATAGCATTTTAGTTACCATGGTTACATGACAATGAGCAGCCCCTTGTGAGAGGAAAGCTTTAGGTGATGCAGACCCTCGACATTTACCACTAGAGGTGGGTGTGGTGCTGACAAACTGGATCACAACAGCAAATTTAGGATCTAAACCTACAGCAAAATATACTTGAGGAAAATGTCAAAAAAACAAACCTTGTCCCACTTGAGTGCATTGCGGTAACACTTGATCGCCTCGTCGTACTTGCGGTCAGACCTCTGGAGAAGGCCATAGACGTGCCAGCCTGGGTAGTGTGGTCAAGGATGACAACAAATAATCTAGTCTTTCTTACGTTAATCAATGACTGAAGGCAGGAGCAACTGTCCATGCGGTTTGTCTAATAAGCAATCAGCCAAGACAGAGTGCCTTACGATAGAAACATTTCTGTCATCCCTCAGGGAGACAAGCATGGACTACTGGGGACCTGTTCCAAACTGGCATCACCAGAGAGGGGCAAGCATGGCAGAGACAGGCATGGCAGATTTAGACATGACCCCAGGTCCCTTAATACGAGACGAAAAAAAATTGCGAGAGAACAGTTGATTTCCGTTACTTGCCCTACATTCCTGGAACCTGGTTCTCCACCACTTGTACCTTGTCCCACATATGCTGCAAGATTCTACATTTCTGGTATATGGTACCTTGCCCTACATATTCTGGTATGTGGTACCTTGCCCTACATATTCTGGTACATGGCCCTACATATTCTGGTACATGGCCCTACATATTCTGGTATGTGGTACCTTGCCCTACATATTATCGTACCTGGTCCCATATTTACAGTAGCTGGTTCTACATAACTTGCACACGGTTCTACATTTCAGGTACCTAGCCCTACATATTCTGGTATGTGGTACCTTGCCCTACATATTCTGGTACATGGCCCTACATATTCTGGTACATGGCCCTACATATTCTGGTACCTGGTCCAATATTTACAGTAGCTGGTTCTACACAACTTGCACACGGTTCTACATTTCAGGTACCTTGCCCTACATATTCTGGTATGCGGTACCTAGCCCTACATATTCTGGTACATGGCCCTACATATTCTGGAATGTGGTACATGGCCCTACACATTCTGGTACCTGGTCCAATATTTACAGTAGCTGGTTCTACACAACTTGCACACGGTTCTACATTTCAGGTACATTGCCCTACATATTCTGGTATGTGGTACCTTGCCCTACATATTCTGGTACATGGCCCTACATATTCTGGTATGTGGTACCTTGCCCTACATATTCTGGTACCTGGTCCCATATTTACGGTAGCTGGTTCTACACAACTTGCACATGGTTCTACATTTCAGGTACCTTGCCCTACATATTCTGGTACATGGCTTTACATTTCTGGTACACGGTTCTACATTTCAGGTACCTTGCCCTACATATTCTGGTATGTGGTACCTTGCCCTACATATTCTGGTACATGGCCCTACATATTCTGGTATGTGGTACCTTGCCCTACATATTCTGGTACCTGGTCCCATATTTACGGTAGCTGGTTCTACACAACTTGCACATGGTTCTACATTTCAGGTACCTTGCCCTACATATTCTGGTACATGGCTTTACATTTCTGGTACACGGTTCTACATTTCAGGTACCTTGCCCTACATTTCTGGTACATGGCTCTACACATGATCCTAAATTTCTGACACAAGATCCTAAACTTGTGATACATGATGTGTGCTCTGCAGTTTCAAGGATACAGACATGGCTCTTCAGGTCGTTCCTCAGCCCCCGTCGGACATAATCATAGGCTTCTTCCTTGCGACCCAGACAGTTCAGTGTCAGACCCTTCATAGCTAGAGTCTCTGTAACAGACAACAAAGGACACATAATGAACGCCACAGATTGAAAGCCAGCTGCTTTGTTTGTTGTTTAATGCTGCAGTCAAAAACTGTCCAGTCGTATGACCATGACAACAGTGGTCTTTCAAATGATCCAATTCTAGACCGATCAAACCATTGGTTGATATCATGAGCAACATCCCTCACCATAAGGTACAATGACACATGATCAACCAAGTAACATAGCCCTGACAATATTGTTTGTCTGTTGATTAACCGTCATTCTCAGCAATATTCCAGCTATATGATGGCAGTCTGTAAATAATCAAGTCTTGACCAGACAATCAAGTAATTGACATCATGAGCATCGATCCACGCAATTGGGATACAATAACATGCATCAACCAAACCAGCAAGCCTGACCACCAGATTCCATTAGTCGCCTCTCTCGACAAGCGTAGTCGCCTTTTACGGCAAGCATGGGTTGCTGAAGACCTATTCTACCCCGGATCTTCACGGATCGTTATAATCTCAATATCCCCACAGGGTTCAGCCTGTTAAATATACAAGAATGGTTTGTACATGATGAGTGGGTGAAGTCTTATGACATGCTATTTTCACTCACCATCTACTCAGTGGAATGATTAAAAGAATTATGAATGTATCAGTCAGTATATATACTACTCATAGGAAAAGGACAAACAGATTCTTTCATATCACTGCTCATATGACATTAATTGCTGGATTGTCTGGTCCAGACTCGATTATTTACAGACCGCCATCATATAGCTGGAATATTGCTGGGTGCGGCGTAAAACAACAAACCAACCAACCATATCACTAAAGTTAATCTGTCACGCTATTAGCACTCTATTCTTGCATATCACTAAAGTTAATCTGCCATGCTATTAGCACTCTATTCTTTCATATTGCTAAAGTTAATCTGTCACGCTATTAGCACTCTATTCTTTCATATTACTAAAGTTACTCTGTCACGCTATTAGCACTCTATTCTTTCATATTACTCAAGTTACTCTGTCACGCTATGTGCCCCTGATCTTTCATATTACTAAAGTTAATCTGCCATGCTATTAGCACTCTGTTCTTTCATATTACTAAAGCTACTCTGTCACGCTATTAGCACTCTATTCTTTCATATTACCAAAGTTACTCTGTCACTCTATGTGCCCCTGATTCTTTCATATTACTAAAGTTAATCGGATGGTCCTTAACCTCTTTTGAGTAGTATATATATCATGGTTACCTGCAACCAAGTCTGGGACAGGCAAACTAGTGGTTGACAGGATGAGCAATGATCCATGCCAGCATGGCATGTTAACATGGTTAACACAAATTCAACCAGTTACAAAATGTAACCATTGCATCTCCATTTAGTAACCTATCATGCCAAGCACTGAGGGTGTCAGGGGTAGGCTAAGACTTGACTGGTCAGCAGTTGATGTATTATTTATGATAGTTAGTGAAACAATAACAAAATAAATTATGTGACATGGTTTGTTAATTATTAATTCATTATACATTAATACTTCACTTATCCAGGTACTAGTATCTGCTAAAATTTGACAATGACCAGTGACTATAATACTGTCAAATTAAATATAAACATGATAAAAGAGTGTTGTCTTTGAAGAAATCTACGCATATATTAATATGTTCTTATGGATATTTTAAGGGTCAGGGTATGTAAATGCACATGACTGCATATTCATTAGTATATTAGTATTCGATTCTAGTGACCACGAATTCAATTCATGAAAGGATACGGTTCGATTCACCGAATACACGTATGAATCGTAACAGCTCTAGTATATATATATATATATATATATATATATATATATATACACACACACACACACACACACACACACTAGAGCTGTTACAATTCACTCGTGTATATATATATGCTGGAATATTGCTAAAAGGGTGCAAAACATAAAACACTCCCTCATTCTCACATTTCCAATTATGAACGATATTTCTAGAAAATAATTAAATGGTTCCTACTCCATTACAATGACATTATCAAAGCCTGTTGTTATTTCTGTAAAGGCACTGAAATGTTACTATATAAAAATGTCATTTTCCAGAACCAATCCATCTTCAACTATTGGGGGTTATATTCCATCTTCAACTATTGGGGGTTATATTCCATCTTCAACTATTGGGGGTTATATTCCATCTTCAACTATTGGGGGTTATATTCCATCTTCAACTATTGGGGGTTATATTCCATCTTCAACTATTGGCGGTTATATTCCATCTTCAACTATTGGGGGTTATATTCCATCTTCAACTATTGGGGGTTATATTCCATCTTCAACTATTGGGGGTTATATTCCATCTTCAACTATAGGGGGGTTATATTCCATCTTCAACTATTGGGGGTTATATTCCATCTTCAACTATAGGGGGGTTATATTCCATCTTCAACTATTGGGGGTTATATTCCATCTTCAACTATAGGGGGGTTATATTCCATCTTCAACTATTGGAGTTATTCCATCTGCATTCAGAGTATCAAAGTTACCACCATGATAGTTAGAGTTGGAACCCATTCATGACCTTAAGCAAGCTTCATCGCTGGAAAATGTTGTTGATCCTGTATAGTCGCCTCTAGTTGTATGCATGGGTTGCTTACACTTATTCTACCCTGGATCTTCACGGGACTCTGATGGTGAATAACTTGTACTTGATAGATCTGTTACTACAAGTATGGGATACTAAGGATATGTTTTACCGGTCAATCTTAGGGTGCAACTACAAAACTTACCTCCATGTTCTGAGAACTTGGGATTTGTTAGAATTTGTTTTGCAAATTTCAACCCATTCTTGTACTGCTTCTGTTCATAGCATTTCTGAAAACAGAAAAGATCATGTATTATAACAAACATAGAAGCCAGGCTTGTAGATACATGTTTGAATTTGGTGTTCTCTTGGATTTGTCATCTTTGCTGTATTTTTGTTGTATGATGCTGCACTCTATATACCTATGACCTGCACATAATCGAGTCTTGACCAGACAATTCAGTTTTTCATATCACAAACAATGATCCACATCGCGCTGAGTCACCTGAATTGCACACTGGAATCAACTGAATTTGATTGTTCTCTTGGAATGTAAAGAAACATGGACGCGCTCACCCACCAGTGTGTGCCAGTATCTTTGTCTACTAGGTCAATCTTGTCTTTCAGAAATTGTTCAGAAGAATGTATGGACACCTAATAATAATCTTCCATTAAGCAACATTCTAGCCATATAATAATAGCCTGTAATATTCAAGTCATGGCCAGGAAAACCAGTGGTTTATAGCATGAGCAACAATCCAAGTAGTCAAGGCATATAACAGTCGGTATTACAACCATCTACTCTTCAACAGACAGCTCTTACAACTGTCAGCATGGTCGGCATATCAGTGTTCCAATTTAGCATGGAAGTTTTGTCTGTCTGTTCGTTTTTTAACACCGCACTAAGCGATGGTCCAGCTATATGATGGCTGTTTGTAAATAATCAAGTCTCAACCAGACAATCCAGTGATTGACATCATGAACATTGATCCACACAATTAGGATACGATGACATGCATCAACAAAGTCACTGTTACTTTTAACTAGTTTCAATTATTCCAGAATCCATCTTTTGCATCCCATGGGACTTGCAGTGGATATCATTTGCTTCCATTCTTATTTAAGAATATCGGATGGAACATTTGTGCCCGGTTGAAATGTATGTGCATCACCGTCAGTATAGGATTTGTTTCCTGAATCATTATGAATGATTTGTGCACACCACTTCAGAATATCATGATTCACGATGCATATGCTAGAGTTATGCAAATTAAAAGGAAAAGTTTCTGGCCCAAACATAATAGGACCCATTATAATAAATGAAATTCTACTAGCCCTTAGGATACCTATGACATTAGAAAAACTGACTCCAGCTAGCGTCCTAGTACCTAGATGCATGCGTGCTACTATCATTTAGAAATTTTGTATCAACTTTACAATTTCCATGACAAGTAGAAAGGCTTAATGTGAAGATCAAAACATTCAATTCATCAGCTTTAATATTATTTAAACAATTGCTTGAGTTTGTGGCAATGGCATGGACAAACATGATTAATACTCCTTTGAACATGTTTAGATAAATCATGACGTGTCGTGAAATAGCTAACGGAACCAATCAATTAGCATGATTAGTGGCACCTGTGCTTAACATTTGCTTAATGCAGTTTTAGTTTGATTTCTTTTCTATTGATACGAATAGTTTCAGGCATATATTCATCCAACAACAGATGACTGGTGTGTGCTCACATGTCCATGCATTAACGAAGATTAATCACATATGGCAAAGTCCACAGAGTTAAGCATATATATACTCGGACCCCATAGTACCGCGGCATTCATCGTATCGCAGCATTTGTGATTTCCGATAGTTCACGCGGGACACGCCTCTTAGCGGCTGTCTATTAATGCAAATCGGTAACCAGGAAGTGCTCACTTCGTAAACAATTTCAATTCCCTTGGAATGTTCCGTCTGCTGTAAGTAAGGAGTTATTAATCCGTTGATACATATTTCTGGCATCTGTTGTAATATTGCCTTACCCCCATCTATCAATGGCCAGCGATATAACCCGCAATTCCCCAAGTAAACTTTCTCTATCGACCTGAACTAGATCATCTGCATATTCATGGCGACTAATGAGGTAACGGAAGTTACGTAGTCCGCACATTTTTTCCTGCTCTGTGCCCAGAATCTATTGGGAGATCATAAGGGCCATAATGCCAAACTTAGAAATACGTTCTTCACTAGTAATCAAAAGATAAGTACATACTTTGGGCATACTAGGAGTGCTTTTTATATATTTATTGTTGACTTTTAACATTTTTCCAGTTTGTCTAAAAAAAAATGGATGACAATAATTTGTCACAATCTTCAAATATCATTTCTGATATTTTGTTGTTGACTTATACAAATATTTTTCTCTTACTTTTCGGTAAAAATGCATTGAATACCTATTGCTGATAACACATTTAGAATTTTACGTGTGCTGTCTTTGCACTTGTCTGGACAAATCACTGATGTCTGGCATGATCATACCAAGTGGTTGGTAGAATTATATCCTCTTTTTGTCCAATTCGGAGCTCCATACACAACTTTTCTCTGTACCGCGAGTTCATTTTTTTCATTTTCCTTAAAGTATCATGATATAGATGAAATAAGACGGCCTGATGATAAAAGATGAACCAAGTTAAGTGTAAACAAAAATAGTATTGGTACAGAGCCCTGTTTTGGTAGGAATTTAACAAACATGAAGACAACAGCCAAACACCGAGAAATGCTATGTGTTGACATTTACTGTACACAGCCAGAAATTACTATGCGGGATACATACTACTTACTATTTAAAATTGTTTTGTATAAATAGGGCCATCTACGATATCATAGTCGCGCTGAGGTAAGACTTCGGCCTGTATCCCCCCTAAAAAAGTATAATTGAATGACATTATTTTAGAGGGGGGATACAGGTGGAACTCTTCGGAAATGAATAGGTGACTAACCTGTGTGTGCATTCATAACATGAATGGTTAATGTTGTCAAACATTTGCAAATAGCAAGATAATCTAAACAGTATCAGTTTTAACATTATCGAACATTGATATTACAAAGAATCACATAGCCAATGCTTCCTCCACTTCATCAAGATACATTCAAGTTTCAATGAATTATTTTTCTTGTCAATGTCAAATAGACTGCATGTCATACATCAATCAAAATAATCGCACAGCCAGCGCTCCGAAACATCCAGAGAGATACAAGTGCATCCTTGAGTAATTGTAACGATAGACCCCTAGAGACAGGTCGAATGTTATATCCTAGGTCAGATCTCGCCTGTGTCTATTGTCAGCGACAGCTACTTGTGTCTGATGCGTTGTCTAGACTTGTGACTATAACGATCAATGTCGTACTTTTGACAACAACAATACATTTCCACCACAATCCCACAAAGTTGCGTGATCGGTAACTAAACAACCTAAAATACAATAGTCTTCAACATGTTCATGCTCACTGCAACAAATCCCCAACCCACGCCCTCGCAAAATTGTGAAGTAGGATACATACCAAAATTCTTTTGAACAGAGCATTCTCTTTTGGGGGTAATGGGTTACTTGTTGGCATTTTGATAAATTTATCCTGGAGTACGCTAGATTCCAGGTGAGTTTGACTTTAACAAGTGCGAGCACCACGAGGTGCAAATTCCAGTATGGCGGAATCTAATGCTCAAGACAAGTGACGGATGTACGTGATTTGGTAAATGATAATATAATACACACTTAAATAAAAAATATTCGTTTTTATTACATAAAAATGCAAATACAACTTACTTTGTTAGATAATAGGGACTTTTAAAAAATAAATATTACTCCCATAAGCCCATATGATTTCGACTACGACAACAAAGATGGCCGCCTACAGTGGAAGTCTGTCGTAATATGAGGAGTTGTGTTGACTAAGTGAACACTCAGCTTGAGCATTCGTTCTTTTAGGTTAAAGTGTTATTGTTTCTGGTAAATAACTGCTATCCAAATATGAGTTCAGAAGGGAAAACAACTGACAAAGCTGTCACTGAGCCTCAAACAGCTGAAGCGAAGGGCACTGGGTCTGTCAAAGTTATTGAGAAACAATCACAAAGAAGGATCTTCAAGATAATTGTAATTGGAGACTCGAATGTTGGCAAGACCTGTCTGACATACCGATTCTGCAGCGGCAAATTTCCAGACAAGACTGAGGCGACTATTGGTGTTGATTTTAGAGAAAAACAGGTCAACATAGACAAAGAGCAAGTCAAGGTATAGCCTGTTAAAATTTATATCCGTGATATGGCATTTAATGTCAACATTATGACACGGCGTCTATTTTTGGAGTAACAAAAGTGTGATAGCTTTCAAATATTTTGTTCATGGAAATAAAAGTTTGTCCCTTATGATTTACGTAGTGTATGTTATCTGACATAAGTCTCCATCTTATGTCGATACATTTGACACATCAACATGCTCGGGATAAACCAGTAAAGCTGAAGGTGTCGTCGGCGTGGAGAAGGAATATCTTTAAATTCACTTAAGCATTTGAGGAGGGGTTATCTGGGATTTTGATGAGAGGCATATTGTAGAAATCGTTTTCTTTCTTTTAAAGTGCATATTTTTTAGATTTATGTAATACTTATCATGTTTATAATATTACATTTCCATTTTATTAAATAAACAACATTGCAAATTATGAAACGAAGTCATAATCTTTAAAACAATAATAATCATGTCCAGGTCTGTGAAATTTGTATTCTGATCCCAGTCTGTGATTTTAGCTTTTGGTCTAGTAAGCTTAGCATCTGACACCCGGTATGCGAAGATAAAAGAGTAATGTCTGCTGATAGTAGACTTTCTTCACAAAAAGGTCTTTTATTAAAAAAATATGGATACCCATCAAATAATCTATACTTTCAAATAGAGATATATTGAACTTCAGTGAATCAAAATTAAATTTAGACAGCAGTCCAGATTAGTGAGATTAGCCACGGATATTATACCAGGAATGAGAAGTTCATGTCTGATTAGCTGCATCAATTACACTGAAAAAATTGCCCTGAGTTTAGTCTGGAACCTAGGGCTGGAAATTTACTACCCGGGTACCCTCCACCTTATTACCCGACCCTACCCGGGTACCCGTTGTAGGTGAGGTGAGGTGAGGTGAAATGGGGTTTAACGTTGCGTCCAAGATTATTGCACTTATATAGCGACGTGCATGTACATGTCTGTGTTTGTGTGGCTGCTTGTACTAGTCCGGACTGATGCCGATTTATAGTGCTAGCTCACTGAGATACCATGCCGCAGTTTAACATGAATACCCCACTCAGACACAGTATACTGACTCCGAGCCGACCAGTCTTTGTTTAAGCCCCCTAATGCCGAGCGCCAGACAGGGTAACAACAAGTACCATCTTTTAACGTCTTTTGGTATGACGCGGTCGGGGATCGAACCCCGGATCTTCCGCTCTCCAGGCGGACGCTCTACCACAAGACCACGGAGGTTGTCTCCGTTGTAGGTATTTAAAGATAGGTACAAACTGTCTGATTTGGAAAGGTTTGTCTGTAGCCCTGGCAAAATACATGTGTAAAACGAGCTGGTCATGCATACACTGAAGTTTACTGCACAGAGTTTTATGTTTATTCAAACATGTAAAAGTAAGAAGGAATGGGTGCATTGTCAGAAAGAAATAGGAACATTAGTGACTTGTAGTATAACTATAGAGTTTTAGATAATTTTTGTCATTGAACAATATGTCACATGACTAACCACGGGTCCGGGTAGTCCTGTAGGTACTCGAGTCCTACTCAGGACCCACCCGACCCAAGTACCCTAGTTACCTGTTCCAACCCTACTGGAACCCCAAATGAAGTAATCCTGCATTAATTAAATTTTACTTGAACTAGTTGAAGAATGTATTGTGTCCTGTTTACATGAATTTGCTCATGTCTGCTTTTGACATATTCCATTGAACATGTTAATGGAGCCTATGTTAAACTATGTTCATTTTCTCTGTATGGATAATTACAACAGAGGTCATCTGTAGATAATATATGACTTTATGTTGCAGCTTCAACTATGGGATACTGCTGGTCAAGAAAGGTTCCGGAAGAGTATGGTTCAGCATTATTACCGAAATGTTCATGCAGTTGTATTTGTCTATGACGTCACTAAAATGAGCTCTTTTGAGAACATGCCTGGATGGATTGAAGAGTGTGATCGCCACAATCTCAACAAAGATATTCCACGAATATTTGTCGGGAATAAGTGTGACATGAAAGATAAGATTGCAGTCAACACAAACTTGGCACAGAAATTTGCAGATTCCCATAATATGCCGCTGTTCGAGACGTCCGCAAAAGATGATGAGAAAGCAAACCATGTGGATGCAATTTTTATGACAATTGCTCACAAACTGAAGAACTCAAAGCCCATGATGCCCCCCCATCTTGCCCGCTACACCCCCGGAGAGCCTGCCCAGTCCGAGGTGATCAATCTCAGAGGCAGCCCCCAACATCGGGGTCTGCAGTCCGCAACACATGCCACGTTTGAGGAGAAGGCTGAGAACTGTGCATGTTAACATGGGCAGGACAGTACTAATACGTTAATGGAAGGGGCATAAGGCAACAACATGATCCAACATGGACAGGACAGTGCTAACATTAATGGTAGGGGTGTAAGGTTGCATTGTGAATAGGACGGTAGTAATTAGTTAATTGTTGAGGATACAGAATGGACTGTGCAGTACTATTAAGTTCATGGTAGATGACATGAACAGGACAGTACTATGTATGTTCATTTCATGGTTGTAAGGATACAACATATACAAGTGATAGGGTGAGCCAATTCCCACTGTAGATAATTATCTACTGAGAAGTGTGCATGTTTACTTGGACAGGGTAGCATTAATACTTTGATGGTTTGGAACTTTGGGTGTAAGGAAAGCTCTGTACAGTAGAATACTAATGATATGATGTAACAATTCCCAGTGTACACTTGTAGTTACCTGGTCAAGTCAGTAAAAGTACTGGCCACACTGGTTACTGGCAGAAAAATATTAATTTTTATTTATCATGTTTATGTTCCGTTAAATAATTTCTCAGAGTAAAGGGGATACGAGACACAGAACCAATAACATGAATAAGGTCTGACTGATTAAGCTAAAAAGAAATCTTGCAGTGGACTTTCAAACAAATAGCTACGTAGACTGCAAAGGTGTTTCCTTTTTGCATGGACTGTTGTCACTGATACTTGCAAGAATATTATCGGATGTCCTCTATGGTACACTGGAAAAATACCTATATATTTGCTTTTGATATTAATATGTTGTTTATCTCAGATATTCAGTTTTGATATACAGCAGCCCTGTCCTGATATTCATATGGTCAGATATGTCAGATTAACATTAACATCTTGTGACCATGGTAACATTCTTCCAATTGATATTCATCTATACTAGGCATCACCAATGTGGGTGTTTGCCACCTGTCTGTCACCATTGTTGCCAGTGTTTTTTCCCCGAATGCTGGTGGCAGTCTAGTACATTTTCAACAAGGGCAAGGGGAGTGAAGTTGTCTGAAATGGTCGTCTGGGGGTAGCGTTATATTTGGCGCACTGTGTGGTAGACACTATTGTTATATCCATCCCGCCCCACCTCATTTCGGACTACTGGTTATGTAAAGTAACTTGATTTTTGGAGAAAGTTAATAGACCCTCACATTTTCACTAGTTTCAGACTAATGGACAAGGGACCTGTCCATTGCTGTGGATTATTTCACTGATTCTGGTCACTGTCAGACACTTGTCATCGGTAGATGTGATAGTCTTATGCTTCATCACTTGAATGTATGGTTGAGGATTTTGTTTGGGTTTGTTGAAGCATGGTCAAGTTTCCTGGGAAACACATGTTATGAAAACGTGTACCGTATTCGACGTAATAACCGTCCAGGGCGCTCTCAAAATTAGAAACGGGCTCTTATTAGAATATTATTTTGGTAAAAAAAACAGAGTTGAAAGATAAATTTCATGGTTTATGCTGACAGCCTGAAATGTTTATGTACGACAGATATATTTTTCCAGAATTTGATTGCCCATAATTAAGGGTGCATATAACACACGAGTGCGTATTATACGCGAAAAAATAAGTCTTGTGTACATTGATTAATCGGAAGGGTGCCAATTGGGATTGTTCACTAGCCAATATACATGTATTAGCAAATATCGCCATGGGCGCTTAATAGAGCAGGGCGCTTATTACGTCAAATACGGTACATGTTTTTGATACACTGATACATCTATGAACATATTGAATGTATAGGGATGATTATGAACATGGGATGATGGTTTTATATCAAACTGTTGTATTTCATTCATTTTGTCTTGGACAACTGTTATGGAACAGTATTGAATCATTGTCTACTACTGTTTATGCTTAGTTCTTATTATTGACATGATTATCGTGTTTCTATCGTAATAATGTTGTGAATATTCACTTTTTATGTGAACTGGAAGAGTATTAGAATTAAATGTTCATAATTATAAGAATACTTAAGAAATGCATTGTAGATTCGTATCATGCTTGAAGGTGACAATGGTCCATTTTATTTTACATTTCAAACAAACAAATTAATCAGCAAGAATAACATGGCAATGTTGGCTCATGAATTGTTTGATAGGCACTTGGAAGTTGACGGATGACAAAGTAGACACAATAACTTCTTTAATTACTGTAAAGGCGACGTTTCGGTATGGAGCCTTATACCCTTGTCAGGCAAGCCTTGCTTGTCAACGGTATAAGGATCTATACTGAAACGTCACCTTTACAGTAATTAAAGAAGTTATTATCCATAAATTGTGTATACAATGTTGGCCATGTTGTAATGGTTATGACTGAAAATTGCCAATCTTTGTTTTGTGTCTTAATCATGCTTGGGGTCATGGGTGGCCCAGTCGTCTAAGACACTGCGATTCGCTGTGCAGAGTTGCGTCCCTTGGGCATGCCAGAAACCTATGATTGTGGGTTCGAATCATGATTCACCTCGATTATGTTTCTAGGTTTGTCAGCACCATACCCCTGCTTGTGTGTTTCACTGAGGTGGTAAACATGAGACCTGCATCACTTCGGGCTTTCCTCCCACATTATGCTGACACGTCGCGATATAACTGTAATACTGTTAAAAGCGGCGTTAAACCCAACTCAGTCACACACTCACTTAATCATGCTGCTTCACAAAGCTGTGAGTTCTGTTCTTGTCTTGTAATGCACTTGGCCCTAGTTACCATAATAAATGGCAATGTCCATTGTTCCATGTAAAATGCTCTTAGATAGCCTGTTGGCTTGAATTTGTTTACTTTGGTAAAGTTATTGATGATTTACATTTATAAGGCCTTTCATTTTTATTTGTTGGTTTAGAACATTTTTGTCCTAAACTTCTATGTAGGTGGTCACTTTTTTAAAACATTTTTTTTCAACTTCCTGATTCGTACTGCTACTGAACATGCTGAATGAAAACCAAACAAGTCTTGACATAGCAGGATACTGAAAGACAACATTTTTTGTTCGAATAAAGATTTTTCTTACCATTTCTTACGAACAGCAGTGATAAAATCTTATGTGTTTTTTCTTTCTCATTTCATGTTGGTTTTTTTGGGGGGGTCTCATAAACCAACTAAAAAATACACCTGTAAATGTTTTTTATTTGATCGATAGCATGATTAAGGGATTCATTTTTCCAATAGATCTTGGGTTGAAGTATTTTGTGCATGTGATATATCAACCACGATGAAGCATGTCACATGGTTACTGAAAGCTTCATCACACATGCAACATTGTAAAATGAATTGGACTGTGTCTGATTGGTTGTGAATCATTGCTAAATGGATTGATCCCAGAAATCTTTTGATTTTTCACTGCATATGAATACTTTCCTTGATAAATAACTTTCTTTCTATTTTCTAAGCCCACTGCTTGGTGAAATGGATGCCGTTTTAATTATATATTAATTATGTTTCATCATTGTTCATCCATTTTATAATGACATCATAGCATTCCTTGGTGATGTCATGTCTGTCTCAACTGTGAGAGTTTGAAAATAAGCGATAACTTTTGGATTGTACAATGTCTATAAATCAGATGCTAAGAAAATTCCCAAGCATTTAATAGTCAAAATCACCTACAAATCTGAAAACATGTACTATTTTCGCCGTATTAAGCACCCTGTTCCAATGAGCGGCCCTCAGATCAACTTCTAGACCAATCTGTAAGTAATCTTTATAAGCAAATATTTTTACACAATTTTAAAAAACACCAGTGCAAAAGGGTTTGTTTAAATTGCATGGTAACTATATTAAAAAAACATTTAGTTTCACCATTATGGTATTTAGAAGGGTTACCCTTTGTCAATTTTATAAGCGTCCTGGGTTCTTATTATGGCAAATACGGTAATGTTTGTTGTGCTATATTAAAGTGATATCGGTAAAATAACAAGGCTGAAATGATGCACGGATCTTCAATGAACTATGATATGTGGCATTCAATACATTATGAGTTATGTACGAACCTGTGTTGTGTTACATGACAATACAATATACATATTTGTTACTGTCTTCAACCCCATATAAATTGGGATAACTCTGAGCCCGAAACGCTTCTGTCTGGGATCCTTTTGGCTTCTGATGGCAGTGTTTCAGATACCTGCCTGCCCGACAGTCCGAGACCTTCTATTTTGCTGGCAGACGGTCAGTTTTGAAAAGTTGCATGCCCGATGGTTGGACTATTATTGTATTCCCTAAATAACCTAAGCATTCTAGTTTTAATTCAATGTAAGAGGTAATTTAACACATTAGCAGCATTAAACACGTTATTCTGTCACTTCCGCGTATGTTGATATCAAGTTTCTGTCCTCATACAATTCTTATGTTTACCCTTTTGTTACCTTTGTTTGTTAGTCTAGAAAACAAAGACTGGCAATATTTTGTCTGGTCTAGTAACTTGGCAAGGTTGCCAGTCAGGTTGTCTGACTGATATTATGGGGAATTTTATACAATAGTGATGGAATTTAACATGAAAGACGCAGTCTGTCATGACTTTCCACTCATCTGAGTATTTCAGTTCATGGTTGTTGTGTTGTTATTCTGAAGTATTGTGGACAGTGTATGGAGACGGAAATCGTATTGAGACCAGTGTATCATGATACGTAGCATATCGTGATCAGCGTATCGAGATATGTATCATATCATGGCCTTCCGCTGCAGCCCTGATGGTATAGTGACAAAACCCAGAGATAGGGATTTGAGCTTCATTTATCAGGCTTCTTGTCTTACATGTTGCCTTTTTGAAACAATTCAATGTTGTGCCATTCCAGTTTTTTGATTTGCATATATGGTATAATGAGATGTTTTATCACTGTTAAAGACAGAATTATTTGCCTTGTTACTCATTCGTGTCTTCTGTAAAGTCGTTTATTTTGTTGCCTTGTCAACACAATATTTGTTGACGTTTTGAAATGTCATTATCATATATTTATATCCTGACTGTCATTATGCTTGTCAGTATCTACGACACTGTGATTGTTGTACATCGGTACTTACGCTTCTAGTAAATGTGATGCTTGAAAAATTTGATTTGAACATCGTGTGTATATGATGTAAGGTTTATGTACATGATATTGAATGTGTCTGAGTTTCAGACTCTTCTTTGTTTAGTTGGATCTTGATCACCTTTTTGCAAAGCTTTTGATATTTGTGATATTATCAATGTATGTTTGTCTGTTTGGTGCTGTTGCAATTAGTATAGGGTGATAATTTACTGCTGGACTGAAGTCTCGGTCAAGTTATGTTTGGGATCGTTACATGTTAGGCTAAATACTCCATCCTTGGACCTTATTTCTTGTACTTATTCACACTATTTTCTTCCCAAACAATATGGTTGGTTGTCAATGGTAATATACTATTTTTAAAACATGTTTTTTGAAAGTATTGTCTGTTTGGTGAAACACCTGCATATTTGATGACATGTTCAAGAGTTACCTTCCTTCCACTATTTTGAAGTTTTCATTTCTGAAGAACATGAATTATTTGAGAATTTTAATTTTGATCCATTTTGGTGAAAATCTTGGTTAGTTTGACCATTAACCATGTAATGTAAAAATGAATGCCTTGTATTCTAAAAAAACTCTTTGAGTACAGATGTTTAAATTTGTAATCTAAATCTTCTTTACAGTTTTTTAATTACCAGTATGAATAATTTGTTAATTGTGAAATGTTTTTGTAATTACATGATTTTCCGCACAACTTTTGTGTCTTTTTAGAAAAAACAACATACTTGACGTAAGAATAAGATAGATCTGTGTTTTTTGTGAACATGATTTTTAATACCTAGTTTAACCTTCAATATTACCATTGATTACAGTTATCAAGTTTGTGTTCATATTATAAGCATAAATGTCTTTCAGTATTGGAGAGTTGTCTGATTTTTACAGTTGAGGTTTGGATTGAATAAGTCAAATTAATCAAACAAACAAACAAACAAACAAAAGGAGTGTAAAAGTGCATGTTGTTTGTGGAGGGCTGTAGGGGAGGTGTAGAAGAAGTCTACTAACTGTTAGTGGTTAGGAAAACGTCATGAAGGGAGTGTATAATATCACTTAGTCGTGGCTTCTAGTTTTGACAATACGCAGGTGTATGTTATAATCCTAAGCCAAACCTTTCCCTTTGTTTGTTCATGACAGAAACATGGAGCTGAGATCTTTGTGTGTTGAGTTCGTCTCCAACCTTGTGGGTTTGTGCATGGGTTTGCCAGAGCTCCATGCCTTGAGGGTTCATCCCCAGTGAAGAAGTATTAGCTTTTGGCTGTGATTAATTATACATGTAACTGTGTAACAATTGTAATCTAACATATACTTTCAGCCCAGTCTTTTATTATATACCACAAGATATCATATACAGTCTTGTCATGATATATAAGATGTATACAACATGGTATACAAATTTATTTAGTATCAGATTTTTTAAGAGAAAAGTCCTCCCTATGCTTGATGGGTT